AACAAGACTCAGTCAAACACTTGTTAAATAGTTTAGAGAGAATTGAAGAAAGTTCTGGAGAACAATTCTGCAAGACTGTGACAGGAATAAATTTGATCATTCATTTCTGATGAGTCTTCATTGATGAAACACAGTGTTAATGAGAAAAAATATTGCTAAGTGATTTTCTACTAATTTATATATATAAAATATATATATATATATATATATATATATATATATATATATATTTATATATATACATATATATATATATATATATATATATATATATATATATATATATATATATATATATATATATATTTATATAAATACATATATGTATATATATAAACACTATTGTGTACTAAGGTAAGCAATCTGACGTCATATATATATATATGTATATATGTAGTATATATATATATATATATATATATATATATATATATATATATATATATATATATATATATATATATATATATATATATATATATATATATATATATATATATATATACAGCGCTCAAAATTATTCGAAGGTTGCCAATCAACATTGATCGGCTTAAATAATAAAATTAAAAACCAGATGATCAAATTTTTACTAAAATTTACAATGCATTTTTTTGATCCTACCTCACATGATTTTTGTTTTACCATTATAATTTTATAACTTTTAACTAATTATAATTTTATTTATTCTCTTAAAAATTTAAGTAAATTGTTTGTTTTGCCGTATTAATTTTATTTAGAATTCAAGTATAACGTTGGTTTTTCTTTTTGTATTATTTTGAGTATATATAATACATTGCTGTTTTTATTTTAAGTATCTTATTTAGAGTTTATATATATCGTCTGTTTTGCCGTATTTCTTTTTAATTGTTTTAATTTGAATATAAATAAAACATTACCGTTTTTATTTTAATTATTTCGTTTAGAATTTAAATGAACATTAGTTTTTCCATATTTATTTTAGTTATTTTATTCAGAATTTAAGCAAATGTTTTATTTAGAATTTATTTAGAACATTTGCTGTTTTCATTTAGAATTAAAATAA